TTTCAGCACTGTGAGAGCACCAGAATTAGCCAAAGGCTAACGAAATCAGTCCAAAATTAGGTTGGTTGAGTGACCTATTGAGCTCATTGTCACTTACTGCCTTCAAGCAAAGGTGCACGACTTGCTGGTAATGCAACACAGGGACAAAAAGCTCATTTGGGGCTCATTTTTGAAGGCAGAAGAGTGGTGTGATGACACCTTTGCAAGCAGGTGAGAAACCTGCTGTGGTTTCCAGTATTTGGTGTGCTTGAGGGCTAAAGGAGTATGGTAAGAGGGAGCTTGGAAAGAGATCGGATAAGGAAAAAGGAGAATGGCTCAGAGTAAGAACAAGAGAAACTGAGGTCAAGTTTTAAGAAGTATGAATTGGACATTCCTGCCTCCACAGTCAATCCCAAGCCATAGGACCTCTGTGGAGCAGCTGAAGGGAAAGCACTAGTGGACATTGAGCAGCTTGTCAGCACACACCACTCGGCCCCAGAGCAGGGGCAGGTTTGGGAGATCCCAACCACCCTAGAGATGCAAATAGCACCAGGGAGAAAATCCCCAGACTGCTGTGCCAACTTGCTGCTAGAAAAGCACCACAGAGAACACCCCAAAGGCCCCACACTCCTCCTGAGTTCTCCATTTGCTTCTGACCCGAGTGAATCCACAACACACCCAACGTCAAGCAGGGCCGTGGCGTTATTCCTCCAAGGCACGCCGGAAAAGCTGGAGGCTCTGTGCTGCCTGGCACAGAAGACATGATGCAGGAATGAGACCCCAGGGCTTTCCCAGAAAGCAGGGTCAGGCCCACAGGCCCCTGCTCCCTCCCCACAGGTTTTCGTGTGGGTGCAGGAACCAGTCTAGACCGCAGGTGCTGCCGAGCGAGCAGGCGCCGTTGGCGATTTGCATCGGGGCGTGTGTGAGGGTGACAGCTCGACCCCCTGCCAGGGGAGCAAGGGCATGAGGATGGTGATGATGAGCAAGAGGATGGGCTGTGACAGGAGGGAGCCAATAAACAGCACGCTGGTGTGTTATAAGTGAGCTGTGCCTGTTGACACAGCCTTGCTGTGCCTGTTGCAAAGTTGGTGCAACTTCAGCCTGACACACTCTGCATCTCCCCTGGCTGAGAGCAAGGTCTTTGGCTCTTAGCAGAGAAGCAATCCAGGTCTATTCACAGTGGCTAGGCCAAAACATGCTCCTGGAAGCTCCTCCAGCTAGATCCAGCCTGTGCTTCACAAGATGGGAAGTTTGCACCAAATTCCAAGACAGACCCCACAGCCCTCAGTGCCTTCCCCTGGACTAGAAAGAGAATGCTGCAGTGCCAGTGAGGATGCTCCAGTGCTCCAGGAGACACAGACAATGTATCTAAGAGAAGCTAAAGAGAAGGAGCTAAATTGGAGTGGCAGGATTACATCATCCATGTGTTTAGGCACATTCTGATTGCTGAAGCTGAATTATATCAGATCATATTTGAGCAATGTATTTAGGCAAACACAACAGTCCTAGCACCAAGATCCCAAGTAGTATTATGGCAAAGTCTCCTCCCCTTCTCCTTGGAGTTTGGCATCTTGATAAATGCAGCTACAAGTTTGGTTAAATGTTTTATATTCTTCCAGTTATTAGTGGTTTCCATTGTAGTTGAGCCAGTAATTCAGCTGTCTCCACATTACTTGCCTTTTCAGAATAACCCATAACTATCATTTCTGGTAGACCTTAACATGGTCTTGACCCATTTTGTACTGGTTAAGTCAAAAGACAGTAGGTCACGTATGGAAAAACAGTGCCTCTTCTTTGTGGCTTGACCCAACCTCCTGAGCCACACCAACCAGCCTCCCTGGGGTCTGGCAGCACATCACTGCTGAACACATCTGCTGGGGACTCATCTCCCCACAAATGTCACCTCCTTCCAGGCACGCTGGGTGTGACAGCCACAGCACATATGACATTTGTCTCTGCTGCTTGCCCCCCATTTGGAGCTGTATTTACACATCTCAGGCTCGCAGTAGGTTGGCATTTCCTGTCTGAGTTACATTACGTTTACCCAATCTACTTGCGAAGTTCATCAACTCCCCACCTCAAAGCAGGGTCTTGCCTGGTGAGGTCCAGCTCTGAAGAGATAGAGAAGCCACCAGACCACTAGCCCAGACTATCCACCCATCACTTCTGCCATGAGGCACTTTGTGCTCCAGCACACCAGAAACAGACCCGACTCAACCACCACACTTGGGCTTACACCCAGAGCTGTTATTTCCATTAATGACTGCTTAACGTTTCGAGGCCTTTCCCTATCCTCTTTTTGCCAGGTGTCTCCCCACTGTTTTTCCTTTGGGGAAGATGCTTTCCCCACATCTCACCCACAAGCCACCCTAGGTGCAGCTATATGAAGAAAAACCCAAACCAAGAGCAACTGCTCTCCAGAAGTGCACACGGTAAGGTGGGGAAATCCAGGTCTC